AAAAAAAAAAAAAAGAATGCTGGTGGAGAGGCAGAGGGGTAAATATGCCATACTTTTCTATTTTCTTTCTTTCTTTCGTTTTTCTTGAGACAGAGTCTCAATTTGTTGCTTGCCTAGAGTGCAGTGATGTCATCATATCTCACTGCAACATCGTACTCCTAGGCTCAAGTGATCCTTCTGCCTCAGCCTTCCAAGTAGCTGGGACTCCAGGTGTGTGCCACCACACCTGGCTTATTTTTCTATTGTTTTGTAGAGATGAGGTCTCCCTCTTGCTCAGGTCTCAAACTCCTGACCTCCCAGAATGCTGGGATTACAGGCATGAGCCATTGCACCTGACCCTTTTTTATTTCTTTGATGCTGTTTACAACATAATTTGGTGACATCTGGAACTAACTGTACATGTTTTCAAATAGCTAATTTACCTGTTGATGATAACCAGATGAAGGAACTTAAAGCGCAGTAGCTATAACTCTAAAAAGCCTTAGGAGGAGCAAGTCAGGGATCTGGGAAGCACAACTGAAAATAAAGATCTCAGCTGTGTATGGCCTTTAAAAGAGGGCAGCAGAAGAGTTAGTCTGTTGTGCTGACCCTTTTGAATACCTTTCTGAGATTTAGAGAGGCCCAGCTAGAAAAAGTAGTGTTTCTTTTACAAAGTTACAAAACCATCACCACTATCTAATTTCAGAACATTTTTATCATCTCAAAAATAAATCTGATATCCACTAAAAAAAAAAAGAAGAAGAAGAAAGAAAAAGTAGCGTTTCTATGGCTCAGCACCTGTAGCATGGTGGTTATGGCGCCAGCCACATACTCCAAGGCTGGGAGGTTTGAACCTGGCCTGGGCCAGCTAAACAACAATGAGAACTGCAACAACAACAAAATAGCCAGGCGTTGTGGGAGGCTGAGGCAAGAGAATAGCTCAAGCCCAAGAGTTTGAGGTTGCTGTCAGAGTAACCGTCATAGCACTCCACCCAGGGCGACATAGTGAGACTCTGTCTCAAAAAAAAAAAAAAAAAAAAGTAGAGTTTTTATTTTTAACCACCAGTGTAGAAACTTTTTTTCCCCCACAAGACCATTAGACTGAAAGATTCAACTACTTGTGAAGTAAACAGCCTCTTCTTAGGTTAGAGAGTGTTGATTTCAAGTAAAAAGTTAGTAAACCAGTTGTGATGATAAAGTAATAAACCTGAATTTGGGGTGTGGATCACAGAAAGAAGCCTAGTCACTTTCAAGTCACACCACCTATGTGATCTGGCCTATTTGTGGAGATATTGGCTCTCTATTTGCAGATGGTTATACAGTTCTACCCAACAGAAACTGGACCTTTCTGTTTGTTAGAAATTCTCTCTGTTAGTGCCTGTTTTAGAGTTCTCCAAAGAAAAGAACCAATAGGATCTGAGGATGTGTGTGTGTGTATGTATTTATAGATATATATATATAGGTATATTATAGAGACATTGATTTATTATAAGGAAGTGGCATGCATGATTATGGAGTTGGCAAATCTCAGGATCTGCAGGATAAGTCAGCAAGCTAGAGTCTCAAGACAGTTGATAGTATAGTGCTAGTCTGAAGGCAACAGGCTTGGGACCCTGGAAGAGCTAATGTTTCAGTTTGAGCCTGAATGCAGCAAAACAGCTGAAAACAGCTGATACATCAATGCAAAGTCTGGCAGGAAATAAGAATTCTCTTTTAGTTAGGAAAGTGTCAGTGATTTTGCTCTATACAGGCCAATTGGATGAGGGCCATCCTTATTAAAGAAGGCCATCTGCTTCACTCAGTCTACTGATTTAAATGTTAATCTTGGTGGTCCCTGTAGCTCAGTGGGTAGGGTGCTGGCCACATACTCAGCCTGGGCCAGCTAAACAACAATGACAGCTACAACAAAAGAAATAGCTAGGTGTTGTGGTAGGCACCTGTAGTCCCAGCTATTTGGGAAGCTGAGGCAAGAGAATTGCTTAAGCCCAAGAGTTTGAGTTTGCTGTGAGCTATGACGCCACGGCACTCTACTCAGGGTGACATAGTGTGACTCTGTCTCAAAAAAAAAAGTAATCTTACCATTTAAACTTCTGTTCTAAAAGCCTTTAGTTCAATAAATTAAAAAAAACATATTTAAAAAAAGTAAATGTTAATCTCATCCAAAAACACCCTCACAAACACATCCAGAATAATGTTTGACCAAATATCTGGGCATCTTGTGGTCCAGTCAAGTGGATACATAAAGTTAACCATTACAGCAGCTGAGTAGAATTTTTTGTGTGCTTTTGTACAGCTTTAAAATAAAAGTTTGATATTCTTTGTTTGGTATGATATTGTTTTCACTGTGAATGAGAAGTTGTAGGGAAAGGCATTGACTGCTGAGAGAACACATTATGGGATTGGTTTCCAAATAGCTCTGAGTCCAAACAGCTTTAATCATAGCTCATAATAAAAAGCCATAGTTTTATTCCTGAATTTCCCCTCTAGTATTTTTTTTATTATTTTAAAATCAATTTATAAACTAATAGTGTTCATCAGGTAGTTACATTTCATTCATCCATATTCAGTTCTACACATTCTTTTCTGAATATCCCAATCTTAAAACTAACTCACATTGTCCACATTGGCCCCACAGAATGGGAAGACTTACTTTACCAGCAGGAAAGAGAATTGACATTTGTGGGGGGCAGAAGATGTATACCAGGACTGCCTGGAAAGTATCTGGCCACTGTTAATATAAGTTTCCACCCATGTTATATTTTATTGTTACACTGGTAATGGCTGGATGCCTTCCAGACAGCCCTTATATCTATATACATATATCTCAACTCATTTAATACTTACAATAATTCTGCCAGAGATTTTATAGGGGAGGAAACTGGTTCTCCAAATGGTGGGGTGATAGAGCTGGAATTATACTTGCGTACCTGGTTTATCTAGCTCCGAAGGCAGTGTTCTTTGTTCTTCACACTGAAATACCATGCAGATATGAGAAGCCTGTACTTAGCCTACATATTCAATTAGCCTTTATTTTTATTATTTTGAGATAAGGTCTCATTATGTTGGCCAGGCTATAGTGCAGAGGTATTATTATTCCTCACTGCAGCCTCAAACTCCTGGGCTCAAGCCATCCTCCTGGCTC